TGTGTTGTAAGCCCCCCCTGGGGGGGGAGTCGATTCCCCCGAGTATATATATATATATATATATATATGAATATTCAAATTACTTCTCTCCTTATAATTTCCAATTAAATAATTTAGCCATACTTTTATCTTTTTGTTATTTGGTCAATCAGTACTAACACATACAATAACACATCACATTGAAATAATTTGACTTTCTAATTTTCCAATTAATTATTTCTTTTGGGGTGCTTATAATACTAGCAACTTAATTTAAACTTTTAAACTTAGGATTTAATTTAGCACTAATTAATTAGAAAAATAACATTAAAATATTGATGTTGCATTTTGTACCTAAAATTTTATTCTTTTAAGTGTTTTTTGGCAGCCCCTATATTGATTCCTAAACAATTTTAGTAATTAGACATTAGTGATAGATTGATTTTTGCCCAAACTTGCTAGAAATAAACTTCTCTAACATTAATAATTAAAAAGCCTACTTAGTTTTTAGTTTTCAAGTTCTCTTCCTCCTTCCTGTTGCGCTGGGTTTGGGCATGAGCTCCACTAGACTGGAGTTGCAGGTGGTCGATTGCGCTCGGTACAGCTAATAGAGATCGTACCTGAATCTTGGCCGCCTCTCTCCTGCTCTGCCTCTGGGAAGCTTCTTCTCCATTCGCTTCGGCTGGACTCGTGGGTTAGTAAGTTCTCTGTAATGAATGATATGGGAATGTAATAAAGAATGCTCATCTGATTTCTCTTCTCCTTCAAATCTTCTCTGTTCTGGTTTTGAAATATCTGTTTTATCATGGTATCAGGGCAGAAAGTTTCTGGTCTCTGATTCTTTCTTTATCTCTTCATCTATCTCTTTCTTTTCTCCTCCTTCCTCTCGGAAGACAGCCTTCCTCCTTCCCAGCTAATGGATTCTTCCTCTCCCAATATTCCTCACTCATCATCCCATCATACCGCTGCTGATCCACCTCTCTTAAATTCTTTATGTCTCACATCAAGACTACAATAAACCAGCAACTTTCCTACGAAAACTATCCAGTGTGGAAAATTTAGATTGAAAATTATTCATTACCAATGGCCTTAGAGCCTTTCTTGATCCCAATACTCCAATTCCACCCCAGTTTTCACCACAAGAAACTGATACTCAGCAAGAAACAATAGAATATCGTCTCTGGCACCTCATTGACAGGAATGTTACTGCAGCAATTATTTCCACCATCTCATCTCCATACTTCCCTACATTATACATCTCCACGGCACTGCTGAAATTTGGATCACTATTGAGAGATGCTTTCTGTCTTCCAATCGTTCTAGAGTGATTCGATTAAAGAATGAGTTACATAATGTAACCTTATTAGCAGAAGCAGAAACGATTAATTAACTACCATTTAAAAGATATTTCTACAGAAACAATAGGCATAATTCAATTTCAATAGCTGTAGATTCAAAGTGACAATCAAAACAATTTTATCAATGATACATGGCCCGAAAAAAACCACAAGAAATCTGCTTGGAGCAATTGCAGCTTCAAATTAGGCCGAGCAGAAAAGAAATTAGCACATAAAGACAATGTCTGAAATTATTTTTATGTATAAATTTCTTTTGAAAAGTAAACAAAAACCTATCATAAATACAACACAAAACTGGCTTTCACAGCAGAGCAGATGAGCCTGCCAAATACTAACGTACCACTCACACCCTTAATCTTACATTGCAGCTATCCTTTTGTGTTGCTCGTTTTGCCTCATCTGCAATTCTAATTTTTCTTCTGAGAATGGAGGCCAGAGAGGGGACAGGGCCACCACCCGACCAACTATGATTAAAGTAGGAGAAACTAAATTGGCCGATTTCACTTCAGAAACAATATTCTCTAACTCAGCAAACACCTGGAGCAATAAATCCAAAGTTTAGAGGAAAAATATGCAATTGTTCCTTTAAATAGGGCAGGTTTGGGTCTGATCTAACGCAAATATGTATGACTCGAACCCGAGCTGTTTATTAAACGGGTCATAGATTCTAGTTTGAACTTAACCTGAACTCAACTCACATGACCCGTTTAAGCATAACAAACATTCAGGTCAAATTAGACTTGATGGGTCAAGTCATATCCGACTTAAACATTAAAGGGGCATTTACATAAATCCTACCCAATTCCTATGTATTTACATATCTAATGAACTTTAGTTTTTTACATTTATATCACCCAAATATTTGATACCACTTAAAATACCACCGTTTTAACTTTTTAAGAGTGAAATACACAGTTTCATGCATAGGTAAGGTGGCATTGTATGTCAAAAGGGTAGTTTGGGTGTTGGACAGAGAGATACATAGAAACTGAGGGGTATGTATGTACATCTTCCAAAACTAATGTGATCGGAATATTTTGGAGTTGGGTTTGGATCTGTTTGTTGCATCAGTTCAATTTTTGACATCCTGATCATCGTAATAATTTCATCCTAATGTTTATGAAAGCAAACAAAACTATTAGTATGACTAGAAAACTAAAGATTCATAGATATTATGCTCACTGTTTGCTGCTGAGGAGTTGTCCCGCGCTCTACAGCAACAGCTGGAGTCTTAGGAGACAAGCCATGCTTCATTAACTTTGCGGCGAGGCCAGGAAGAGTAGACAAGCCCATGTAGATAACCAATGTTGATTCAGGATCTGCAGCATGTTCTGCTACATATAAGGGATCGGTGCCACCATTCCTTGAGTGACCAGTCAAGAATCTAACGCTGCAGAAGGGAAAAACAAGCTAATTTTGTAATACAAGTAAATAAATGCTTTAATATAGCCAACTCCCATAAAAAAACAAAGAGTAGACTCATAGGCAAGACCCAGAGAGCTTTTTACAAGTAATGTATGATTAAATGCATAAGACGGGCTGTCGTGAGCCAGCTTGAGCTTGCCTCGATAAGTGGCTTGTGAGCTAGGCTCGATAGCTAAGAAGCCAAGCTCAGTAGAGCTTCAACTCACCTTGTTAGCTTGTAAGCTAGCTCATTTTAAAAAAAATATACTAAAAAAATATTAAATTTCAAATCTTTATCGTTAAATTATTAAAAGTATTAAAATTTAAATTATTAAAAATATTAAAAAAAATGATATTTATATTTTATATCAACTAATAATGAGAGTAATTTTTTAATAATTTTTCATAATTACTCGTTCTATTTGTCATTTTATTACAACACTAGCTTGAGTTATAAGTGCTTTCTTTTTTCATAATAAACAAGCCAGTTTGTAAGCCAGCTCGAACTGGTAGCCTTAAGCTTGAGTTCAAACTCGATTAATTAGTCGAGCTCAAGCCAACGCTTGCTCAAGCTCGACTTAAGACTCATTTACATCTCTAGAATAAACAGATAAAATGCTTATACCTATTTGCAATGCCTCTATGTGTCAATGGGATCCCAAGTTCTGCTGCTATTCCAGAAGCAGAAGTTATACCTGCATGAACAGGATTGGTTATTAAAGTAAATTCTGAATGAAGTTTTTGCATTAATACCACAATGCATCGATTCAAGTATCTCAACCAGGAATAACTTTAACTTCTATTCCCTGTTGTTGCAAAAAATCCATCTCCTCTCCACCTCTCCCAAACACCTAAGCAAGTAGCATAATATATTACCATTGACAAAACTTGTAATCAGATTAGAAGAAAATTGTGTGAAGAAAAAGTTTTCTTCTTCTATTGAAAGTATGACGGATAAGCATCGAGAGTATATAAAAAATATTATTAATACATTGAGAAAAAAGGGAAATTTGCATACATACCATGCAATTCTTTTGTATTTACATATCTAACACCTAGACGTTCATATGTACATTTATAGCACTTTTGTGTCATAAACCTATGCATGAAAAGGTGCATTTCA